AAAAAAAAAAAAAAAAGCACTACCAGTCTTGGGGCCTTGGTCTGAAGGGGACTTGTTCAGGGACCCTGCAGGAGGGCAGTGGTTATTGGGAGCCTGTCTACCTGTCTTTTTCAGGAGGGGCCAGAGTGCTCTGGGTTCCCACCCATGGTAGCCAAAATAGGAGTCCAGGCATCCAGGTAGGAGGCCGAGGGATGACCCATTTGGCTTGGAAACAGAGTCTGCCTCTGGGGCTTCTGCCCAGAACCAGGAAAAAGCCCCTGGCTGCTGGAGCTGCAGAGGCGCCTGGTGAAGGTGAGGCTGGGGAGGTGAAGAGGCAAGTGCTCGCGGGAGGAGGCTTGTCCAGTGAACAGGCCACAGTCCCTGCCCCGGGGGGAGCCCAACATCCCCAGCGGTGCCAGGCAGTGAAGCAGGCAGGACTAAGCTGGAGGTGAGCTTTGGACCAAGCATTAGCTCAGAGGAGAAAGGTTGGACCAAGGGGTTGTTCACACCAAAGACCAAGCATTAGCTCAGAGGAAGAAGGTTGGACCAAGGGGTTGTTCACACCAAAGACCCAAAGGTGAGGGTGTGGCATCTTCCTGAAAATCCACTGTGGGAGTCCTAGGCTGTAGGGGGTGGGACGGTGGTGCAGGGAATAGAAACCACGGGTGCAGTGAAGACCAAGCCAGGCCACAAGGGCGCTCAGCCCTGGAAGATGACCTCGTCAGATCTGCTGGTGGGAACAGTCACTCCCATGCAGTATGCCAGAGGGATCAGAGGGGAACGGAAGTGGAGGCCAGGAGAATGGCAGGGACACTGTTGAAACTCTGCATCTGGGGGTGGGGCTGGAGAAGGCTGCCCAGCCCAGGGATGGAAGTGACAAACCACCTGGAGGTGGGGAGAGGTGGAGGTCAAGGACCCTGGCAGGTAGTCTGTGTGGATGAGCCATTCCCCAAGGTGGGCTCCAAGGCCCCCAGATGGCCAGCCTGTACACACCCCGGGCTCCATCCAACTTACCTGTTGTAACAAAGTTGTTTCTATTGCTTTCTTTTTTTTATGTTTTATTTCTTTTTGAGAGCAAGAGAGACAGAGCACGAGCGGGGGCAGGGGCAGAGAGAGAGGGAGACACAGAATCTGAAACAGGCTCCGGGCTCTGAGCGGCCAGCACAGAGCCCAATGAGGGGTTTGAACTCACAGCCCTCCAGATCATGACCTGAGCCGAAGTCAAACGCTTAACCGACTGAGCCACCCAGGCTCCTCTCTCTTGCTTTCAACACAGCAGGCGGGGCAGGCCTGTGCTGGCAGGAGGAGTTCTCAGGAGAGTGCACTGACCCTAACGCCAGGTCCCTAAAGTCTGCAGCAAGGGATCTTCTCATCCCTCACAGTGACACTCCAGCCCCTCTCCAGCCACATATTTGTACCCAAGACTGTGCCAGCCTCCGTCACTCCCCACTGAGCACATCCCTCAGGCCCGCTCTCCTTCCCTTGTTCACAACCACACATACCTGGACACATGCACGTATACCCTGCACTTAACCCCAAACGTCTACCCTCAGTGTGCACGCCCACACAGAGACAGCAGGCCTGGGGATTGGATTTCTGAGGTCCATTTAGTCCAGTGTCACCAGATCCCCACCCCTCGCTGAGTCTACACTCCTGTCACCTATCCCTTGGTCCTATGCCACCCACTCCCCCAAACACGCACACATAAATACCCACCTACCTTGATCAGAGGACAAGAGAAGTCCAGTGCTCCTCAGTCTGGGAAGCTGAAGCTGATACAAGCCTCTCGCCTTCCCTGTGCCCAGACTCTGGCCAATGTGACCAGCTCAGGGGCCTCTTCCCTCTGGCCCCCTCATGGGCCTCCACTCAGCGCCCAGGCCATAGTCCCCAGGCCTAGGGCCCAGCTCTCTCCTGACCTGTCCCACCAGCTACATCCCCAGCGGAGCTGGCTCTGGGGCAGGGAGGGGCTGGTTTCTCAGCAGTGGGCGTCAGTGAATGGCTGCTCTGAGCCTCTGGAATCCTGAAGGGCCATGGGAGGCTCCTAATGGCCAGGCTGGGCTGCCCTGGACTCAAGGCCACCTGTGGGGGGCGGGGGAGGGGGGGCGGTGGGATGGTGCCCTGCTGCCTGGCCTCCCCAAATCTACTCTGTCTCCCACAGACCCTGGCTCCTGAGAGATGTCTCCAGTAAGAACAAGGCTACTCCAAATACAGCCACACTCTAGTGGTCCCAGCACCATCCCCACTCCTGATTTCCTTCCGCGTTGCCCCCCCCCCCCAAGTTTAGTTCTGTGACCTTTGAGCCATCTTGTCCACCCACCTGAGTTCTTTTCTGGGGCAAGCTAAAGCAGGGGCTGTCTGCTTTAACACCAGTCCCCTGAGCCCCTCCTGGCTCCCACTGGACCCTGTACTAAGGCCCCGAAGAGGTGAAGATGACCCAGCCCTGGGCCTGAGGAGACCCACCCTGTGGGCTGGGCGGTGCTCTCATCTGCCTCCATCATACCAATAGTAATGATGATGATGGTGCTAATAATGCTGCCATTTACTGAACACTTACTATCCTCCAAACACTGTGCCAGGGCTGGGCAGGAGCTCACAGTCCGCTCAGGAAGATGGGGACATAGACAGGTCCTTACGGTAACACCACAGAGATGGTGGATGACATCTTTCCAGCACTCACCCTGAGCCAGGAAGTAGGCTAAGCATTCTCCTGGCATCTCCTGTAATCTCCGCCTCCTCACCTGCTTTTTGCTGATGAGCGCACCACAGCCCACACAATGCTGTGAGGTCAGGTCGATTTTCCTGTGTATTGCTCTCCGTAGTGAGTGAGCTTCTGGAGCCGTGCTGGCCAATAGAACATTCTGTGATAATGGAAATGTTCTGTATCTGCGCTATCCAATGTGACAGCCACTAGCCACTGGCGGCTATTGAGCACTTAAAATGTGGCCACAGTGACCGAGGAACTGAATTGTTTATTTTATTTCATTTTAATTTGTGCTGTCATATTGGACAGTTCTGAGGAGCCTGAATTTTCTTTTCTCTGGGTCCTAGGGCCTGGCAAGAGTCAGCCTCATAAGTATCTGTAGAATGAGTGAATGAGTGAATGAATGAATGAGTGAATGGTGAATATGTGGACCTGCGATCTTCCCCTGTTCATCCGTTCTCTCGCTTTCGGCCTTTCTTTTCAAACTTGGTTGTTCTCTGATTACCAGGACAACACCTGCTGGAGTCCAGTGGATGGAGGAGGGAAGCTGTCTGGAGTTCCTGCCCCGTCCCTTCTTGCTTTGAGGCCTGGGGACCAGCCGAACTTGAGGAAGAACGGAGGTGTTTGGGGAGGAGACAGCACAGTTCTGCATGGACAGATTGGGCAGGGGGAGACTTTACTGGTCACCCCCAGTGGATTGCATTATCTCTAAGATGAAGAAACCCTGAGAAGAAGTAAGGAGTCCTGGATTCTCTCCCCACTTTGGCAAATGAGTCATTATACAGCTGCCATCAGGTCACTTGCCTTTCTGGGCCTCCGTTGCCTTTGTAAATAGGTCCCAGGTGCTTGCATGTGATCTCCTCTAGCTCAAATATCTAGAATTCCTCCCTCCAGCTACCTGCCAGGCTGTTAGGGCCTTGAGAGCCAGAAGCGAATCTGGTTCATGTCTGTATTCCACCCCTGCCCATCGGCCCTGTTCTGTCCTCCAGGGTTGAGGGGGCCAGGAGGACACGGCCTGCCCAGTAATGACAAGCTGCCCTCTAGTGGCCCAACGAGGCAATGACCTCACATCTGTACTGCTGTTCTTTCCCACCAAAGGAAAGATCCACAAACCTGGCAGTAACCTCAGAGGACAGACTTTCACCCAAGCAAAAAAAAAAAAACAACCCATTGTGGTGGCCTCCCAGGCAAGCGGCACAGGCTTTAGAGTATCCAACTTGGGTTTGCTATAGCTGTGTGATTTTGAACAGGTCACAAGCTCTCTGAGCTCTTCATCTGTAGAAATGGGGATTATTATCAGTCAGCATGGGTTAAATTATACTGCAATAACAAGCAATTCCAAAATCCCAATGGCTTATAAAAACAAAGATTTACTTCTCGTTCATTTCTCACGTTCACACTGGTTTGGATCCATGGAGGCTCTGCTCTGAGTCATCTTGACTTTGGGACCCAGGCTGATGGAGCAGCCCTGTGCTGGAGCCTTTCCCCTCATTGTGGGAGAGGGGAGAAGGGAGTGGAGAGCTGTGCACTTGCTATGAAATGCTTTGGCCTGAGGGCACCTGCTGGCTCAGTCTGGAGAGTGTGCCGCTCTTGATCTCGGGGTTGTGAGTTCAAAATCCACGAGATTGTGTGGTTGTAGAGAGAACTTAAATAAATTTAAAAAGAAGAAAGAAAGAAAGAAAGAAAGAAAGAAA